CATAGCAGGCAATGTTCCCAGTCCTCTTGTGAGAGTAACCAAAATTACGAAAATTATTCAGCGACGTTTTGTATGGACCAAGGGTAACTGTCAAGGTTTATTTATGTCATGATTATTAAAATTCCTAGTTAAGGACCTTTAATATATGGTACAGATTTGTACACTTTATCAGCGACCACCTTCAGGTTAACTGCGCTAGGCATGACCCGCGAACCACAATGGAACCAGTTTAGCTCTTCCGCCCAGTATGTGTTTGTCTATGTCTATGACACGTCAATGCAATCGCATTCTACAGGGAGCACTTCTTTTCCGATTCACGTTAATGTATTAAGTTGTAAATTCCCAAAACTCAAATTTAGTGTTGCATTTCCCCAACACAATACTGACACAATCTGACATTAAACTGTTTTCATCGTACTTCAAATATCTGCCTAGCTAGCGACGTGATGGGCTTCGATTCCTACTTATATATATTAAACCTCAAAGCAAGAGATTAGGCAGTCTCGTAGTCCGACTAAACAGATTCCATTAGCCGTAAAGGGCCAAGAAACGTGTTTCATTCTCACTATATTTTGTCTGTGTGCTTTTGCTATTTTGTAAATCTGACATTTACCTCTGAATTACTGGTGGTTAATTGCAAGGACTTTCTCAGCACATATATTGCTTAAAAATAGAATTTTCGTAAAAAACACGAACCGAAGCACAAATCTGTCTCAGGGCTGTCGAGAGACGAGAGACAAATTATACAGCTCCAGTACAGCGTGTGAACGGGGTGTCACTGTTGGGAGCTGAGGGAATTGAGTGAGCTCACTCATGTCAGGTCTCGATAACTGCAGCGTGTCACTGAACGAAGTCATCATACTTTGTCGAAGAAACAAAACGATATCAAAATTTTTAAAAATTCCTTCGTTAGACGATGAGGAAAGGAATTGACCATAGAACAAATAATCTTCCAATCCTGTCCCAATCTATTCTACACGTGTTTAACACATAGGGTGTGTGTGTGTGTGTGTGTGTGTGTGTGTGTGTGTGTGTGTGTGTCGGGGGGGGGGGGGGGGGGGGGGGGGGGGTAGCCTAGTGGTTACAGCGTTCGCTCGTCGCGCCGAAGACCCGGGTTCGATTCCCGACGTGGGTACAATGTGTGACGCCCATTTCTGGTGTCCCCGCCGTGATATTGCTGGAATATTGCTAAAAGCGGCGTAAAACCGTACTCGCTCACTCACTCACTCACTAACACATATGGGAGGGAAATCACATGACATAGCGCGTGGGTGTGTATATATGTACATGCTAAGAAAACGGGAATAATGTAATGTAAATGTGTCGTCAGAAGGAACGACAGATCTGAAAAAATAAAAGCAATATTTGAGGAATTTAGTAACCAAAGCCTAACGCCCACCATCTTCCCGAGGCAAGTGAGTTAACAGACTATAAAAGTCCAGTTTCAACCAAGAGTGGAAACAGGACTTTTAAAGTCAGTTAACTCCCCTGCCTCGGGAAGATGAACGCCCACACACCCGAAACATTGTAGTAGACCACTCAAATGGTCGGGGCACGATGGTGCGTCATTCTTGATTTTGACACTTCAGTCGTTCAGTCGTTCAGTGGGCTCTGAGTCACTAGTATTGTTGATTTACACGTAAACTCTTTACTTATGCTTTCATGCAGTATTTGTGATCAGATTGGGCGTGCGTCGTCTACAGCGTGATGAACACCTGTTGGTGTGCTTCAAACGTTTAGAGTGAGTGAGTGAGTTTGATTTTACGCCGCTTTTAGCAATATTCCAGCAATACCACAGCGGGGGACACCGAAAATGGGCTTCACACATTGTACCCATGTCAGGAATCGAACCCGGGTTTTCGGCGTGACGAGCCTACGATTTAACCACTAGGCTACCCGACCGCCCTCAAACGTTTAGAACTCAGCGAGAGGTAGTCAATACTTTCAAGGTATCTGAGTCGGTGATTTGCAGACTTTGGAACAGGTTTCTGCAGACACAAAATGTTACTGATCGGCCCCAAGGTCAACCACAAGTCCAGGATAGATTACTCAGAAAACTTGTCTCACGAAATCGAGCCCAGATAGGTAATCAAATGTTTGTTCAAGTCAAAGACCAGACGTTTAGAAATCGTCTGTATGAGGTGAGGTGAAATGGGGTTTAACATCGCATCCAAGATTATATAGCGACGTGCATGCACGTGTATGTGTGTGTGTGGCTGCTTGTACTAGTCCGGACTGATGCCGATTTATAGTGCTAGCTCACTGAGATACCATGCCGCAGTTTAACATGAATACCCCACTAAGACACAGTATACTGACTCCGAGCCGACCAGTCCTTGTTTTAGCCCCTTAATGCCGAGCGCCAGACAGGGTAACAACAAGTACAATCTTTTAACGTCTTTTTGTATGACGCGGCCCGGGATCGAACCCTGGACCTTCCGCTCTCCGGGCGGACGCTCTACCACAAGACCACGGAGGCGGTCTCGTCTGTATGAAGCTAATTAATCTTCGTGCTCGGCAACCACGTGTTATACCACCGTTAACAAATCAATACATTCTACACCATCTTCCTGAGGCAAGGGAGTTAACTGACTATGAAATCCAGTTTCCATCCTTGCCGATTAGGCTGGAACCTCTGAGTTATTTTTTTGTCTGGCAAATAGAGTCTATGCATATAGTCCAATCGCCATAGCCACTGGTGATGCTACAATTGAGCCACGAAATCCCAGCCTCGTCGGGCAAGGGTGGAAGCTGAATTTCTATATATAATCAGTTTACTACCTTTCCGCGGGAAGATGATTCCAGCCAGACGCCAAAGGTGTTAAGAGCGTAGAATGTGGCGTAATTTAATCTGGACTGTTTTGATTGGCGTGAAAGTGTCTGGGGGCGTCCAAACGAACGTCATGCAAACGTCAACGTCAACGTCATCACAGATTTGGGGGTGGGCCTGTAATTATAGATGGTGGGATTATTCCGATTGCCGGGATTTCATATAGCACGTCGCGGACATGATCTGGAGACGTGTACGCTGACGTCAAAGGCCACCCGATACCTTAACCGAACTGAGCAAGGCGCTGCCAGAGGATTGGACAAGGCTCCCTTAAATTGTCACTATGAACAAACGAATATTTCACCAATCATGGGGGCATGACTCATTATTGATCTAGTCATCTCAAACTTTCTTTTTTTCACCACATACCCCAGTCGTCATTCTTGGTTTTTAACACCCTTACAATAATACTCCGCCAACATGTTCTGTTGGTTGTTACGTTGTCTTTCCGTTGTCTTGTCCATTCATTACCGTCGCTTGATATCTCTGTGTAGTTCTGTGGGCGGTGGTGTAGCCTAGAGGTTTAAGCGTTCGCTCGTAACGCCAAATTCGGGTTCGATTCCCCAAATGGGAATAAATGTGTGAAGCCCATTTCTGGTCTCCCAAGCCGTGATGTTGCTTGAATACTAGTAATATGTAAGCGGCGTAAAACAATACTCACTCACTCACTTTTGTAGTTCAGTAATCTGTTCTGCTATTTTTCAATATCCTATTTTTAGGCGTTTTTGGTTCCGAAACTTTTCTATCTCTGGCAGTCTTATGGAGGGAATAGTGGAATATATATATCCCCTACCACATCACGATGTCCACCATCCATGTGGAAGAAATGCTCGAGACGTATCTGTATTCCACATTGGCGAAACCCGTAGACACAAGCGTGATGCATGATGGTCTTACTTTAGGATTCGAACCCTTTACTAGGTTCCTGACACGACTACAACTCGGCATAGCGGACTGCATCGCCGAGTACCACAGAGCTACCCGTCGCTTATGATTTGTTTGTTGTTTACGCCGCACTCAGCAATATTCCAGCTGTATGGCTGATAGAGGAAATATCAGTATGTGTTTATTTGCTTGGCATTCACATCCCTTGTGCACAGTCTGCACGGTGCATACATAGCGTGCTCAGGTGTAAACGTAGCACGCAGGGGAATGGCTGGTTTTCGCCTTAGTTAGTTTGTTTGTTGTTTAACGCCGCACTCAGCAATATTCCAGCTGTATGACGGCGGTCTGTAAATTAATCGAGTCTGGACCAGACAATCCAGTGATTAACATCATGAGCATCGATCCAGGCAATTGGGATACAATGACATGCATCAACCAAGTCAGCAAGCCCGATCCCGTTAGTCGCCTCTTACGACAAACATAGTCGCTTTTAACGGCAAGCATGGGTTGCTGAAGACCTACTCCACCCCGTCGCACATGACGTTACATTATGTTATATGATAGTATAACCATATTCCTGATTCTAATGATCAGTGCTATATGATACTTTACATTCTGATACATTTCTCCCAGCGGACAAGACACTGAGTGCAGATTAATTTTCATAAAGCCCAACAAGAACACCAAGTACATACACTCAGAAGAATGACTCAGTAACGAAACAGTATACGTGTACACCCCCAGTATACGAGGGTAAAGAGTCAACTAAATTACTGCCCCGCCTCTCCCACCCCACCCCACCCCGCCTCTCCCCCCAACCGCCCCTTGCATCTGTTGTCATTCGCATCTCTCTATAACCCACAATACCTCAATTAGTAACGAATGTCAAAGTCGCATAATCTGCAACTGACATGCTACGTCGTGCACTTAACATCAGCTTGACAACCATGACCTATGACTCTACATGTATCATTATCTTGTTGAAGCACATGCGTCATTTGAGTCACATGCACCTAGATGTGTAGGGGGAGGTCGGGTAGCCTAGTGGTTAAAGCGTTCGCTCGTCACGCCGAAGACCCGGGTTCGATTCCCAACATGGGTACAATGTGTGAAGCCCATTTCTGGTGTCCCCCGCCGTGACATTGCTGGAATATTGCTAAAAGCGGCGTAAAACCATACTCACTCACTCACTCACTCACTCACTCACTCACTAGAGGTGTAGCATGTAGGCGAACAGGTTTAACATGAGTCGTATATGATATAATTACATACATTACAGACATAATTAGTTCACAATTCGGTTTATTGTTATCATTAGGTCATTCTGTTGATGCGCGACGACTACATAGAAATGTTTGTTCATGATAAAAACAGTTAATTTGGTTGATGTTTCGTGTCCTCACACAGCTCGATGTCGACGGTGGCCGGAGTCATACGACGGAGATCGTGACGTTAACCGCAGACTGCAGCCCGCCGCCGTCCTGAAAATAAATGTCAGCAAACATATGCTACGAGGTTTGAATGATAAGTTATAAGGCTCACTTTGAAGGATTTTACCTAAAGACATTAAAGTGACATATTTTTTTAACATAATCCCCTTTTACATTGATACACTCTTGCCAAAGATGTTGGAAGGATTTTATCCCAGTTTCGCAGCTTCTCTTGGCTGTCCAAAAGGTTCTTCATGTTTGGGGACAGATGGAAGTCTGGGGGAGCCCGATCAGGAGAATGAGGTGGGTGCTGAAGACGTTCAACGCCACATTCCTTGATTGTAGCCATGGGAGTGACTTATTTGTGTTCTGGCGCATTGTAGTGATGGAAGAGCACTTCTTTTCTCAGCTTCCGACATCTCTTAGTCTCACATCCCGCGATTGCCTCAAAATTGCATCTTTAATAACATCTTTTTGTAAATTTATAATTTAATTGCATAATTTCAATGTAAATATGTGTCGTAAATCTAACGGTATTGATGTTGGTAATGGTATCGATTGCGACAGAGGTGAAATTGAAGAATAATTCCACGTCATATTTAGAATTAACGAGTATTGGAGTTTAAAATCTACGCTTCTTATATTCTTGACAATGAAAGTAAATCTGACCTGTTCATGATTGTTACCAATTCACAAAATGTATATTTATCATTTCAGTGCTACTTTTGATATCAGTTTCAAGAAGATGCACTTGCTGTATATTGAACTGACAATACTCTTTGTTGTAGTGTCAATTGTACGTTAAGTCATATGGCCCATCATACTGAATAAATCTGTATGTCTGTTTATTGTCTGGCTTCATGAAAGATAGTTCACCATGATGACACCCTCGGCATCCCCGAACACGGGAGCCATAACTTTTCCAACTGACGGGGCAGTCTTTGCCTTCTTTGGAGGTGATGATGTCAAATTCTTCCACTGATTTGATTGATGACGACCCCAGGTTTCATCCATTGTCACAAATCGTTGCAAGAACCTTGCCGGGTCAGCTTCAAACAGAGCTGGAGTGTGCCTGGTGTGTTTATGATCAGCTGTCAGAAGCTTCGGAAGCTTTAGAGCTGATACTTTCTTCAATGCCAAAGTTTTTTTGTGATAATGGCATGTACAGTCTCATCGGAAATGCCTAGTGAACCAGCAAAATGACGTTCAATCACTCTCCGGTCGGTCATCACCATTTCCTGGATTCTCTGGATCATTTCTGGTGACGTGACAGGCCTTCCACGGGTGGCCCAGTCGTCTAAGGGGCCGCAATTCGCTGTGCAGAGTTGCGTCCCCTGGGCACGCCAGAAACCTATGATTGTTGGTTCGAATCCCGGTTCGCCCCGATTATGTTTCTAGGTTTGTCAGCACCATACCCGTGCTCGTGGGTTTCACCAAAGTGGTAAACGTCTAAGACCTGCATCTCTTGGGGCTTTCCTCCCACATTAAGCTGACACGCCGTGGTATGACTGGAATACTGTTAAAAGCGGCGTTAAACACAACTCACTCACTCACTTTATGGTGGCAAAGAAAGGGGCATTCTTCCCTAGTGTTGTACTCATATCTCCATGGATGGCTCTTGGTATTAGTCCTTTTTTCTGAAAGTGCTTGATCTCTGCATGCTACTCAAGTTTATTTCACTTACTTGTCATAGAGAAACAAGGTGTTCAGTTGACTAAAGATTTTGTGGATATACTTCTATGACATCATGAAATCCCTTGAATGCTATAATACCAGTGCGACACAGAGGCACGTGGATGTGGGCGAATTGCGAATGATCATCAATAACTTTATGATTCTGGTTGAATGGGTGCGTATCAGGATAAATAATGATATACTGATAATGGAACTCATAAAAAGGAAGTTGATTTTACTGAAAATCCCCAAAGCACTCTTAATGCGAAACTTTTCAGCAGTTCTGATTGATAAGCGCTTGCAGAGCAGCTTGTGTGTGCTTTGAGCATGCCCATGTGTGTATAGCGCAATATATATTATTAATATTATTATATTATATTTAAAAAAATTCAAAACGCGATCGTGTGATTTGACATAGTCATGAAGCAGCCATGCCAGTTCTTGTCCCTGATTCACAAAGCGATCGTCTCGCGTTATCTTTATGCTTTTTACGTTATGTGAGTTATAAACTTTAGGAGGCTTCAGGCGACTGGGCCCCAGGTTGTTTTGCTTAAGGTGATACACAAGATACCAACATTCTTATTGTCATCTATCAGTATTCTTCTTATGTATTGCATAACACACATCAGCTCCATGATCACTTTAAATACATGCCACGTGTATTTTCAGGCCAAGTGACAAACAGTGTATCACTTTCGTCCTTCTCCAGACCACCCAGCGTCCTTTTCCCAAGTTGATATTTCTGATGTAATGTAGGAACTGCTACATCGGGGGACTGCTACATCACGGGGACTGCTACATCGAGGGACTGCTACATCGGGGGGCTGCTACATCACGGGACTGCTACATCGGGGGGCTGCTACATCGGGGGACTGTTACATCACGGGACTGCTACATCGGGGGACTGCTACATCGGGGGACTGTTACATCACGGGACTGCTACATCCGGGGACTGCTACATCCGGAGACTGCTACATCGGGGGACTGCTACATCGGGGGACTGCTACATCGGGGGACTGCTACATCGGGGGACTGCTACATCGGGGGACTGTTACATCGGGGGACTGCTACATCACGGGGACTGCTACATCGGGGGACTGCTACATCACGGGGACTTCTACATCACGGGGACTGCTACATCACGGGACTGCTACATCACGGGGACTGCTACATCACGGGGACTGCTACAGCAGGGGACTGCTACATCACGGGGACTTCTACATCACGAGGACTGCTACATCAAGGGGACTGCTACATCGAGGGACTGCTACATCACGGGGACTGCTACATCACGGGGACTGCTACATCCGGGGACTGCTACATCGGGGGACTGCTACATCACGGGGACTGCTACACCGGGGGACTGCTACATCACGGGGACTGCTACATCACGGGGACTGCTACATCCGGGGACTGCTACATCACGGGGACTGCTACATAAGGGGGACTGCTACATCACGGGGAATGCTACATCACGGGGACTGCTACATCACGGGGAATGCTACATCACGGGGAATGCTACATCACGGGGAATGCTACATCACGGGGACTGCTACATCACGGGACTGCTACATCACGGGGTCTGCTACATCACGGGGACTGCTACATCACGGGGAATGCTACATCACGGGGACTGCTACATCACGGGGACTGCTACATCACGGGGACTGCTACATCACGGGGAATGCTACATCACGGGGAATGCTACATCAGGGGACTGCTACATCACGGGGTCTGCTACATCGCGGGGAATGCTACATCACGGGGACTGCTACATCGATGGACTGCTCAACGAGGGACTGCTACATCGAGGTATTACTACATGGGGGACTGCTACATCACGGGACTGCTACATCACGGGGAATGCTACATCACGGGGACTGCTACATCACGGGACTGCTACATCACGGGGACTGCTACATCCGGACACTGCTACATCACGGGGTCTGCTACATCGCGGGGAATGCTACATCACGGGGACTGCTACATCGATGGACTGCTCAACGAGGGACTGCTTTATCGGAGGACTGCTACATCACGGGGACTGCTACATCACGGGGAATGCTACATCACGGGACTGCTACATCACGGGGACTGCTACATCACGTGGACTGTTACATCGGAGGACTGCTACATCACGGGGACTGCTACATTGGGGTATTACTACATGGGGGGACTGCTACATCACGGGACTGCTACATCACGGGGAATGCTACATCACGGGGACTGCTACATCGCGGGGAATGCTACATCACGGGGAATGCTACATCACGGGACTACTACATGGGGGGACTGCTACATCGGGGTCTGCTACATCACGGGGACTGCTACATCGGAGGACTGCTACATCACGGGGACTGCTACATCGGGGTATTACTACATGGGGGGACTTCTACATCGGAGGACTGCTACATCGGGGGACTGCTACATCACGGGGACTGCTACATCGGAGGACTGCTACATCACGGGGTCTGCTACATCACGGGGTCTGCTACATCACGGGGTCTGCTACATCACGGGGAATGCTACATCACGGGACTGCTACATGGGGGGACTGCTACATCGGGGGACTGCTACATCACGGGGACTGCTACATCGGAGGACTGCTACATCACGGGGACTGCTACATCGGGGTATTACTACATGGGGGGACTGCTACATCGGAGGACTGCTACATCGGGGGACTGCTACATCACGGGGACTGCTACATCGGAGGACTGCTACATCGGGGGTCTGCTACATCGGGGGACTGCTACATCACGGGACTGCTGCATCACGGGTCTGCTATATCGGGAGATTGCTGCATCGGGGTATTACTACATCAGGGGACTGCTACATCGGGGGATTGCTACATCACGAAGACGGCTACATCGGAGGACTGCTACATTACGGGGACTGTTATATCAAACTCCAAATTATTAACTTTATCTTAACCTTTATCTATCTGGTACAGTGGATAGAACGTATGGCTGCAGCTTGAGAGCGGAAGATCGGAGGTTGGATCTCCGATCGCGCAAAGACGTATATACAATATGTCTTTGGATCGCGTCATACCAAAAGACGGTAATAGATGGTACGTGTTACCCTGCCTGACACTCGGAACTAAGAAGATAAAACAAGGACTGGTCGGCTCGGAGTCAGTATACAGTGTCCGGGCGGGCAAGCAATACAAAACCGGCATTAGTCCGGAATAGTACAAGCGGCCACACCCAAACACGCAAGCACGTCGCTATATAATTGCTATAATACCCGGTCCCGTTCCACAAAGCGACCGAAGCGCTACGACTGTCGTAAGTCTGTGTTAAAGTATGTGAGTTACAATTGTCTCCGTGCTGCGATGGCTTTGTGGGAACCCTGAACCCAATGTCACCTTACCTCCTCACCTAGGTTATCTAAACAAAGTGACCATAATGCCTCTGAGGAAGGGGTCCCGCACTGACCACCCCAAACACACACACACCCAACCCTACTCCACCCCACCTCCCCGACTCATCTCAGCCTGACCCTGGCACGGTCTGCAAATATACTCACTGTTGCTACCACCACCAAATGGAGATCTCGTCCTTTTTGTGTGACTAAAGGCATTTTTAGAGATATCAGGCCAGTGTAGAGATTCACGTCGAATGCTTGATAGGCAAACAGCTCTTTGGTCTGTCAATGCGAAATAAAGAAATACATGTATACAAAATAACAACCCTTGGCATACTATGCACAAATACACCAATCCTCAACCACATGAATACACGTCATGATACAGGGAATATGGCTAAAAAGAGAATACAGTAAACCACGGTTATAACGAACACGCTTATAACGAGCTGACGGATATAACGAACTTACGTTTTTGGTCCCGACTATTTGCTGTAGTTATGCTGTATATATGCTTATAACGAACTACGGTTATAACGAACTAAAATTCGTAGTCCCTTTGAGTTCGTTATATCCGTAGTTTACGTATAGGATATAAACCGATTCCGCGGGCTATCCGTGAAAATAATGCAGTCCGGCAAAGGAAAAGCCCGCGGGGCGTAGGCGAAGGAGAAGGTTTATATCTGACTTATAAACCGACAGATATGAAGATGCTTTTTCGTTTACATGACATAACTTTAATTCTGAAATTTCAATTGTAGCACTCGAAAGTTCGAGAATCCCGTGGGCAGAGGGATTTTCGGAGAAAAGAACAACCTCTTGTAACAATGGTCATGCATCACTGGAGGTTTATAATGTATGTATAATCCCTGAAACGTGCAGGGAATATAATGTCTAATTACTCGGGGAATAAACATAATCCCTAAAACTTTAAGGTATTATACATTTTCCCTGATTCAAAAAGTGTTTTAGACATATTCACTGAAACTACTTTTATATTGTTTACATGTAGGTCATTAATTTTGTGATAACAGAGATAGAAATGTTGTCATTTTCACTTTGATGTCCACTGAAAGATGTAACAATAATAATAACAACTAATCATTGAAGTGTCAATATTACAAATTAATGTAAAATGAGTTTATGAAGAAAACTGGATTAGTAACAATGCGGGTGGTTAAAAGATGAAAAAGACATTCGTCAACAAAGACAGCTGTAAATCACTTTCATACGAAGGTTTATCAGTTATGGATGTTGATTTTGTGAAACGTTCTCTGATTGGACTATCGATGTGTGCGATAGTCCAATCATATTTAGCACGGGAAAGTGGGCTTGATGTGGCAAGGGTGGAAACAAGACTTTGGCTTGTGGACGCTCTTGCCTCGGGAAGATGGACCCTGACATGACTCTACAAGTTGAATTGCGTCCCCTTGACCCAAGGTCACATTCGAATGGTGTAAAAAGTGAAAATGTGTAGAAAGGTCAAGTCCTTGGAACGTCTTAGATGGTGGTTTGGTAACATTTTTTTCAACATCTTCACTCATCTCAACCACCATCAGTTTTGCTGACCACCGATAGTTGACAAGCAGACTTGTTTCAGATTTTGTGTCATCCCTGAGCTTTCTTCCGGAGTGACAAATCTTCCCTGTGGGGCGGCGATGCGTGGATACTAAGGTGCGAGACACGTGAAGACCTGGGGTAGAATAAGTCTTCAGCAACCCATGCGTGCCGTAAAAAGCGACTATGCTTGTCGTAAGAGGCGACTAACGGGATCGGGTGGTCAGGCTCGCTGTATTGGTTGATGCATGTCATTGTATCCCAATTGCGTAGATCGATGCTCATGATGTCAATCACTTGATTGTCTGGTCCAGAGTCGATTAATTTACAGACCGCTGTCATATAGCTGGAATATTGCTGAGTGCGGCGTTAAACAACAAACAGACTGAGGCGAAAACCAGCCGTTCCCCTGCGTGCTACGTTTACACCTGATCACGCTATGTATGCACAGTGCAGACTGTAGACAAGGGATGTGAATGCCAAGCAAACAAACACATACTGGTATTTTATAAATGCTTCAGGACATAGTTTTTTCACGATATATAACAGCGGAACCGTTAAACTCAGATCTTGTACTCCCGATTCGATGTGGTTTACGCGTAAGGCGGACAATCCCTCACGTAGAGAGACAATAGACCATATTTTGATTTCAGTCCCAGCAATTTTTGTCCTTCAGAGGTCACCTTACTGTCCAAGAGCATGTGTTTCGCACGCGGGTGGTAGCTTAGTGTGGACCACGAAGACAGAAGTCAGGGCTTGAGCTTGAAAAGACAGCAGCCATGTTTATTGTAGATGGATGAAAAACAGTCCACAAAGTACATAATAGTGAAAACGTGACAAACGCACTGGGACCAAGCTGCTAATGGTCCCGGTGCGGGGGCCCGCTCTGTCACACACAGGCAGGAAGTCGGACGTGGTCGTTGTGAGGCAACGGCCTTGTCCGACGCCACGACTAGCCGCACAATCCGTCCGCTTCTGTTGATGGTCTGGGTCGTCTCCCTCAGTGATCATGTCAGTCAGGTTTTGTAGGAGTGAGTGTGAGTGAGTGAGTTGGGTTTAACGCCGCTTTTAACATTATTCCAGTTATATCACGGCGTGTCAGCTTAATGTGGGAGGAAAGCCCGAAGTGATGCAGGTCTCAGACGTTTACCACATCGGTGAAACCCACGAGCACGGGTATGGTGCTGACAAACCTAGAAACATAATCGGGGCGAACCGGGATTCGAACCCGTTTTGTAGGAGGAGGTATGACATCATGTGATGCATGGTCAGTGACCAAGTTACAGGAGGTGTTAACTGACATTTATAGATAACGCTGGAGATTAAGGGCCTGGAGAGAGCTTACGATTAGAGGGGATACGCCGAATGTTTGCTGTATAAATTAAACAGACAATGGAGACACACAATCTTTAGAAAGTCGCTTGCACTATAACATTACTGTGAACTACTTTTAGTGTGAACGACTGAGTTTTCTGAAGTTGGGAAAAGTGATATTTTCACTGCAGCGAACATAACAATTGATATTTCACCGAACTGAACTTAACACTTTGACGGAACCATTGTCATACAAGAGTTACCTCCCCCAAATCGTCTCCCTTTATCGTAAGTGTCCGGCCTATACACAAACTGTTGACGTCCGTTATTCTTCAGTTCCTCATTAACAAGGCTACAGAGGCTCTGATGAATCACATTGCCTTTTTAAAGTACTGTACGCCAGCAACAGATATTTTACGTCTGTTTCCTAAGGTTCATGGAAAGTATGTTTGAAACATAAAAATGTTGATAAATGTTGTTTTAAGTTCCTTTTTTCGGTTTATAAGTTTGATAAAACACACGCACGCACGCACGCACGCACGCACGCACGCACGCACGCACACACACACACACACACTCTGGTTTAATGATATTAAAAACCCTTATCCTTGGGATAAACCTCGGGTCTAACACCTAACACCCCTCACACCCCTTGGTTTAAACATTCGGGCGTGCTTTATCCTACACACAAGACACTGCAGAGAGAATATTCTCCCTGCAGTGTTTTTTTGTTTATATATATATATATATATATAAAAGCACAGTAAAGTTCTAACTCTCAGGCACAATATAGTAATAATTAAATAAGTGGAGTAAGATTGAACACAGTTTTAATTGGCTAGCGCTTTCAACTCGTACCACGTACGAGTCTCATCAGGCCATAAGTGAATAACGGACATGAAGTAGTGTCATGTCAACTAATTTAATTATTACTATATATATGTGTGTGTGTGTGTATATATATATATATATATATATATATATATATATATATATATATATATATATATATATATATATATATATATATATATTGTAAGGGTAGTCAGTCAGATATGGTAATAAGATATTTTAATAGTGCTTTATTGTTTCTTCTCATTAGTGGTGAGTATTGTTTTTAGCTCCCTTGGGGTATGGAGCGAGTACCATGCTTTCCGGTGAGAAAGGCCTATGTTTATCCGCATTCCGTCAAGATGTTTTACGGATTTCAGGGAATTGGACAACTGTGAGTTCTCTATATTAGAAATTCTGTAAAATAAACATCATGAATACTCAGTTTCTCCGTTCAGAGTTTTCGAAAACATTATAGTAAAACATCGATTGAGTGGAAAGAACGTGTACCGGGAGTAAGTTGAATTTCAATAGTGTCAGCATGGATTTGAATATTGACAATATGAACAATTGTGATGATGATTTAAGTAGCCGTGCGGCTAAACCTACACAAGAATACACTGATTATAAGATTGAACTATGTGTCAAACGTTTAAAATCTGCACTATCTGCATGGCGTCGGCAGGCGAGTAGTGTCATGAAGTTAGTATCTGACAGTGTGGACATATCTGAACTGCGTTCAATTCGTGATTGTTTAGAAGACCGTATGGCAATTGTGTGTAGTGAACATGGAAAACTTACTGAATTCAATTATTCTGATGAACATTTGCTTGCAAAATTTGACGAGATTGAATCAAAACATTTTGATTTAATTAAATCCGTGAGTGATAAACTGTGTGAACTTGAATTTGGTTTGAGTGAACGGAAATTCGCTGACAGCAAATCATGTAAATCTGTAAAGACTAAGTCATCAAAAATGTCTAATGTGTCAAAACTGTATGAGACCAAAATTGCTGCTACAGCCGAAGCTGCAGCATTAAAGACTAAATTGAAATTTCTTGAAGTTGAAAATCAAAAGAGAGCTGAGCTTGAAAGGTGTCAAACTGAAATGAAATTATCTATGGCTATGGCACAATTAGAAGCTGTAGAGAAATTAGAAAGTGAAGTGAATGAGGATTCTGTTCATTCTCCTGCTTTATGTCCGGATGGAAAAAACATGTTTGTACCAGATTATATTGACTCAGTTCAGGTTGAGAATCTGACACAAAGTGAAATTAAAGCTCCACATGAGTCATGTGTCAAAAGTGACATTGTGAATGTAGACATAGAATCTGTTCCGATTAAAAACGTTCAAGACTCGCAAAATGTTCTGTTCAGTCAAAACTCTCAGAATGAAGATTTAATCAAGGCCTTAGCAAATCAGATAAACATTGGGCGTTTACCTCCACCAGAGCCAGGAACTTTCTCTGGGGACCCTCTAATGTACCCAAAATGGAAAAGTGCATTCAATGTCCTCATAGGGAGGCGAGGTATTCCTGAAGGTGAAAAAATCTATTATTTGCAACGCTATCTTGACGGAC